CTGCTGGACGACTCTGAACCAGGTCTGTGTATGGCTCGTTCCCTCCCTGCATCTCCAGCACTGATATGCACCTCTTACATAGTAGGTACTCATTAAATGTGTGACATTGCCTGATCCCAACCCCCAACTTTTTTTTTAAATTTATTTTTGGCTGTGTTGGGTCTTTGTTGCGTGCAGGCTTTCTCTAGTTGTGGAGAGTGGGGGCTACTCTTCATTGCGGTGCGTGGGCTTCTCATTGCGGTGGCTTCTCTTGTTACAGAGCACGGGCTCTAGGCGCATGGGCTTCAGTACTTGTGGTGCGTGGGCTCAGTAGTTGTGGCTCCTGGGTTCTGGAGCACAGGCTCAGTAGTTGTGACGCATGGGCTTAGTTGCTCCGCGGCATGTGGGATCCTCCCGGATCAGGGCTCGAACCCGTGTCCCCTGCACTGGCGGGTGGATTCTTAACCACCGCGCCACCAGGGAAGTCCCCCCAGCTCCCAGTTTTGCTGTGCATGTGTGTACGGATTTATTTAAGGGACTGGAAGGAAACAGCTATATCTAACAATGGCGTCTCCAAGTTGTGGGTTGTGAGTGAGTTCTGTTTTCTTCTTACGCTTTGCAGCATACTCCAAGTTTTGAATGATAAACACATATTACTATGACAATCAGGAAACGTTTTAAATATGATGTATTTACACATCTGATACAGGAACACGTTTTGGTGATAAAAGTTCGAATAATACATCAAGACTTGATCATCTGATTGCCCTCCCCCCAACCCCAGTCCCCCACCCACACGCAACTACTGCTATCATTTTGATATGTGCCCTTCCGGATCTTTCTCTGTGCAGTTTTGTACATATAACTGTATCTAATGAGATATATGGGTTTCCTGGTGGGTAGATTATAGCAGGCTATGACTGTTACGCTTTAACTTGCTTTTCTCATCTAGCAATGGTCTTGGAGGCCGTCCATCTGCACAGATGGGTCTGCCCCATTCTCTGTAGCACCTGCAGGGTGATCCACAGGAGGGACCCACCAGTTAGCTTGTCCCATCCCCTTTGATGGGCATGTGAGCGCATGCGTCTCCTGGTAGGCTTGGGGGAAGTTGCTGGGCAACAGAACTCATACACTTAAAGTTTGAAAAGATGCAGGTAAAACAGGCTCCAAAGAGAAGTGTTAATTTAGACTCCCAATAATAGTGGTTAAGGCTGCCTTCCATACTTTATTTTATATTATCCATTTAATGCTACGTGACATTTTAATTTTAGCCAGTCCAATAAGTGGAAATTGTTTCAATTTGTATCTCTGTTTCCTAATGCAATTGAGAATCTTTTCCTAGGTTTATGGCCACTAGAAACTCTCTGAATTGCCTATTCATTTCCTCACCCTCATTTTTTACTTGGGCTGTTGGTTCTTTCTTATTGATTTTCAAAAATCCTTTATTTACTACGCCAAAACTTATCTTAATAAACCAAAAGAACATGTGTGTGTGTGTGTGTGTGTGTGTGTGTGTGTGTGTACATATGTGTGTGTACATATGTTTACTTGTCTTCGTTACAGATATTTTTTATGGGCACCTTTTAAACTTACTGATTAATTTTAGGGTAAAACTATGGTGTGCTCTACCCCAAAAGGAGGCCTAGATCAAACCGATTTGGGGAGAAGGGAGGGATGGAGAGAAGCTGCCTAGCGGGCATGGGTTTCACTTTGGGGTGGAAACGTTTCAGAAAGAGACAGAAACAGCGGCTGCCCAACACGGTGGATGTGCTGAACGAAGGGTTTGCTTTAAGATGGTGAATTTTATGTTGTGTGAGTTCTGCCTCAGTGCACTTTTTTGGAAGACCCTAGACGCTAACATTAGGGGAAGCTGGGAACTCTGTAGTATCATTGCCAATTTTTCTAAATTTAAAATTATTCCAAAGTGAAAAGATTATAAAAAGAAACTGATTTGGGAGGAAAAAATAAATAGGCAGCGTGAAGAAAGATAAGAAGAGATTAGAAGAGAGCAGAGAGACGGCTGCTCCCTGAGGCCACGGGGGACTCCCCTGGTGGCCACTGGTTAAGAATCCACCTTCCAATGCAGGGGACGCAGGTTCGATCCCTGGTCGGGGAACTAGGATCCCACATCTCACGGGACAACTAAACCCGCGCACCGCATCTACTGAGCCTGCACTCTACAACTAGAGAGAAGCCTGTGTGCTACGACGAAAGATCCCGCGTGCGGCAACTAAGACCCGACGCAGCCAAAAAAATAAATAAATACATAAAATATTTTTTAAAAAAAGGTCAGGCCGGGCTCGGCGGTCACCCCGGGTGGGGTGCTCAGTGCAGACACCGCTCCAGGAAGGGCAGGAGGACGCAGTGGGCCTCTGGTGTCCCGGACGGCCCAGCAGCAGGAGGCATTGCGTGCGTGTACGGCCCCACCTTGAGCATCCCGGCCGCTGGGATGCTTCTCTTCTCCTTCCCCTGCTTCTCCACCTTGGCCTCAGGGTGCTTCATCTGCCTGCCCAGGTCGGAGATGACGTCCGCGTACTGCGCGATGTGGTAGGACACGTTCAGCAGGTTGCGCTTGACCTGGTGGCGGGACGCGGCCAAGGTCAGGGCCAGCTGGCTGCCCCGCGAAGGACACCTGTCACCCAATGGATTTATGCCAGAAAGACGCAAGCACCTTTCGTCAGGAAAATGTAAATCAGTGCTATTCTGTCTTAAAAGGGAAGGAGATTCTGACACCTGCTGCAACATGGGTGGACATGATGAAAAGTGAAATAAGCCAGATGCAGAAGGATCCATGATCCACACCACATGTGTGGTTCCTGGGAGAGTCAGGGTCACAGAGACAGGAAGTAGGGGGTGGGGCCAGGAGTGGGGGAGGGGAGGGAGTCGGTGTTTAATCGGGGCAGAGTCTCAGTTTGGGAAGATGAAAGTTCTGGAGACGGACGGTGGGGATGGTCGCACAAAAATGTGAATGTGCTTAATGCCGCCGAACTGCGCCGTTTAAAATGGTTCAAGGGGTGAATTTTATGTTATGTATATTTTGCCACAAAAAAACCAAAATTCAAACAATCCACGAAGAGGTTTTTGAAAACCCTCCCCATGGGTAACCACTGCTACCGTTTTGGTGTGAGCCCTTCCGAATCCTTCTCTGTGCGGTTTTATACATATACAGGAAGCTAGAGAGATACACGTGGGGAGTTTTGGGGGTGTGGGTTCAGCTTTGGGGGGGTTTACGTAGATCATAACAGACTGTAGCTGCTGTACTTTTACTTGCTTTTCTGGTCCAACGATGTGTCTTAGAGGCTGTCCGTCTGCACAGATGGGTCTACCCCATTGTCTGTAACAGCTGCAGAGCGGGGCCGGAACAGGGACACAGCAGGCAGCTGTCCCCTCCTCTTCAACGGGCACTTTGGGGCTTTCCTGTGACACAACCTCCCTGAGCACGTGGGTCTGAGTTTCTCTTGGGTAGATGTGGAAGGTGACGTTGCTGGCCGCAGGGCGCACGCACGTAAGTTTCGCCAGATGTGCACACTGGCCCTCAGTCCGCACAGACACGCTGTCTTCAGCGCTCGGGGCTCAGCTCCCTTGCAGGAGCCAGTCCCCCTTGGTGGAAGACCCCTCTAAACCCGGCCTTCTCTGTGATCGTTCCTCGCGGCGCCCCATGGCTTTCGTTTAGAGCACTTGCCACAGTTGGAAATGAAACACTCACCTGCGTGGGTTCTTGTCTCCCAGCTGCCTTCTCCTCGGCTAAGCTCGGGTTCATGCGGGAGCAGAAGCTCTGATGATGCTGACGCTAGTGCTGGTGATGGTTTTATGGTGGCGCCTCGCTCAGAGCTGGACGTTGGGAAGGGCTCATCCCTTGTCTGTTGACAAATGGTAATCGTGATAATAAAATAACACCTATCATGTGTTGGCCACTACTCACTCCTGTGCTAAGTCGCTAATGTGCATTATCTCATTGAGTGTCACACAGCCTTAAGAGATGAATCCTTGGGCTTCCCTGGTGGCGCAGTGGTTGAGAGTCCACCTGCCGATGCAGGGGACACGGGTTCGTGCCCCGGTCCGGGAAGATCCCACGTGCCGCGGAGCGGCTGGGCCCGTGAGCCATGGCCGCTGAGCCTGCGCGTCCGGAGCCTGTGCTCCGCAGCAGGAGAGGCCACAACAGTGAGAGGCCCGCGTACCGCAAAAAAAAAAAAAAAAAAAAAGAGAGAGAGATGAATCCTTTACACTGAGTACAGCAGTGTAGCCAGAACAGCACGGCAGTGTGAGGCATGGGCTCTGGAGCCAGGCTCCCTGGGCCCCAACAGGTCTGCCCCTGCTGTGGTGGGTTAGAGAAGTTGCTTTATCTCTCTGTGTTTCAGCTACCCACTCCGTTAGATGGGATAATAACAGGACCTACCTCCTAGGGAGCCAGTTGCTGAGAATGAAGTAAATCAGATCGCAGTGAGAGCTTACAGTGATGCCAGGCACAGAGACAAGTCCTTTCCCTGAAACCTGTGAATGTGGCCTTATTTGGAAAAAAGGGTCTTTGCAGATGTAATTAAGGATTTGAGATGAGATCATCCCAGATTAGGGAGGGCCCTCAAATCAATGCCAACTGCCCTCAGAAAAGAGGAGAAAGAGAGGAGCACAGGGAGGAGGAGAAGGCGGAGCAGAGACTGGAGGGGTGTGGCCACAAGCCAAGCGCCAGGAGCCTGCGAGCTGGGAGGGACCCTCCCCTAGAGCCTCTGGAGGGAGAGCTGTAGGACTCAGTGAGCAGGCGGGAGAGTGACAGAGGGAGCGGGTGAGGGAAGGTGGGAGGGCGCGGCTCACCGTTCTCTTGATGCTCTTGGTTCTACGTGTATAGCAGGGTGTCCGCGCCTCCCTGCTCGGTACGTGTATAGCAGGGTGTCATCCACACCTCCCTGCTCGGTACGTGTATAGCAGGGTGGTCCGCGCCTCCCTGAAGTGCGTGCTGGCTGGGCTGACGTGGGCAGTCATCACCGTCCGGCTGTTCCCTCCCAGAGCATCCTTCTCAGTGGAAGGCGCGAGCTGGGGATGGTGGGAACCAGGGTTCCCACCTGCCCGGGGGCGCCATCCCTCCGCTACCTGTCCCGGGCTCCTCTGGACCAGCCCATCTGGGGTTCCTGCTCCAAACCCTGAGAAGGGCAGCTGAGGCTGGACCAAGGGGTCAATGCTCAGGGAGGTGACGCGCAGGCTGAGATGGACCTGCTGCAGGCCCGCCCCATCCTACTTCCACTCTGATGCAGGTAGATTAGACCGAGAGGCCAAACTCACAGAGCCATTTATTTGTTGCTTTGCCTATCTGTTTACCTACACCCTGCCTTGCTGTAGAATAGAGGTGACAGCATTCAGCTCAGTAGGAAGAGGAATTTTCTCAGACCGTCCGTGATGAGACAGGCAGCCTTGGTGAGGTAGTGAGCTTCCTGTCCCTGGGAGTGTGCAAGCATGGGCTGGACCACACTCAGAGGGATGGAGGGGGGATTCGAGCAGTGACTAGAGATGATTTCTCCAGATAAAGCAGAGATTTTCCTGCTTTCAGGGGTTCCTGGAAGGGCGCTTAGGCCCAGGTAAATCCTGAAAGATGCAGTCAGATGCTGCAGCCACGCCTGTCTCTGGCCAGGGGCTCATACCTTCAGCAGGTGCGCCTGAGTTTGCTGTCCCGGGAGTTCACATGCTGCGCCTGGCTGCCGCCCTTCTCGCTGGGTGCGTTGACGCAGGTGCCCAGCGCCAGCAGGGAGCAGTTGATGCGGACGCCCTCCTTCATCCTCTTGCCTCGGTTCTGGGTCTGAGTGAGAAGAAGCCAGCTGGCGGGGAAGTGGTCCTCCCCCGCCCCCGACCCCGCCACCTCCCCACCCCAGGCCCCAGGGGGAGGGGACTGAGGTCCAGAGGATGCGATAACCCCATCCCACCCTGGGAGGCTCAGGGTGGACGCACTGACTACACTCCCACAGCCCAGGGACTGGAGACAGAAACAACACCAGATTCTGCAGTGGAATACCACACAGCCAGGAAAGGGGGTGAGGTAGAGCTGTTTACCAATGTTGAAAAGATGCTCTCTGTGAAGTGAGATAAAAAAAGGCTCAGACGGATGCCTGGGCGGAACAGTCCCCTTTTTATGATAAAAATATGAACGCGTGTGTCTTCGCGAGAACGTCCCCCCACGCCGAAGCTTTCTTGTCCTCCCAGTCTCAGCCTAGAGGTCCTCCTGGGGAGCGCCCAGGCCCCCTCACCCCACGGGGGTACATGCTACCCTGTATATTTCCTTCAAGTTGCTTAGCTCTCTCGGCAACTATCTTGCTCTTTTATGCGTTTGTTGTTTCCCTAACTGCTCCCCACAGAACCTAAGCTCCATGACGGAGCTGTCATCTGGGTTGGCCATCTGTCCCCAGAGCCTGGACACCGGCAGGCGTCTGGCCCACAGTGTGGCTGGATGTCTGAGCACTGAACAAATGTATAAAGATGCCTGCAGGGGCCTTAGGAGGACACACGCCAAACTGCTGCTGGGATGACTGCCTCTCAGTGCAGCCGTTGTGGGGACTTTAACTTTCTTCCTTTAGCTTAACCATATTTTCCATATCTTCTGCACTGATTTGGTTACATTTGAAATCAGCAAGGAAAATAACGTTTTCTCTTTAAGGGACATGGGTTTTAGAGCCAGTTTGGAGCACGGCTTGAGAACGGCTTAAATGACATCTCAGACAGGTCTCCCAGCCTGTCTCAGTCTCCTTATTTGTCCAAAGAGGCAGTTGCTGTGGCCATGGTGAGGATTTGGCGGGCAACGTGTGTAAGAGGCCAGCTCAGAGGTGGGCCCACAGAAGCGAGCAGCGAACGTGAGCTGCTCCTTTCACTGGGTGGGAGCTGCCGGCATGACCAGGCCATGGCAGCTGTCACGTGTCTGTGCCCCAGAATTCGGGGGTTTTCTCAGACGCCTTGTGTCCTGGAACAAACTCCTCTGTGAGTGATTTTCTGTGAAGAAATGACAGACTGTGAGAGCCAACCAGACCTGAAGACAGCCCGCTGGGCCCCCTGAGCATACAGCTTAAAACCAAGGCCCAGAGAGGGACAGGGGCCTGGCCAAAGGCACACAGCTATTTGGAGCAGAGGGAGAACAAGAACCTAGGGCCTGAACCCCTGTCCAGTGGCCTCCCCAAGAGCTAAGATCTGAGGAGGCTGGTCTCCACCTTGCCCCCTGAGCACATGGCCGAGTCCAGCTGGCACGGGCAGACTCCCAGGGCTCCAGCACACTCGGCTTGGTCTACATGAAACTGTCTGTACCCACATCTGTCTGTGTATGAACCGTCTTTTATTTTCTGCATCCTAATGTTTTGTCATCTTGGGGCCCTGCTGCCCCTCCCAGGGTTGCCAGTTCCTTCTGATAACAAACAAGTCACCCGTGAGCACACCTTTCAAAAGCAAACCAGCCAACCCAGAGCCCTCACCCACCCCCTCCTCCTTGGGGCTCCCACACTCTGGGCCACTGTCTACCTGCCCTCATCACCCAGGGCAGGAACCAGACAACCAGGGATGGGCCCTGTGCCCCAGAGCCTGCTGGAATTATTCAAACTGGCCAGTGTTCAGCCTGCCTTCCCATGGAAGTCACGAGAGAGGCTCTGGCCCGTGTTTTCCCCTTGTTCCCTCTGCCTCCAGACCAACCCTGGTGCTTCCCCGTGTGGCCCGGCCTGGCTTCTCCTGCCCCCTCCTCTTGGACCTGTGAGTAGCAAACTATCTCTTCAATGGCAGTCATCTTCTGATCTGCTGGCCTCACTGTACCTCAAATTTCATACCATATTAACACATACATTGAACCTGTCGGCCTCTGGGCCAGCTGGCCAGGCACCCAGGGCAGGGCCAGGCGCAGGGCAGGTGAATGAGTGACTGAACGAAGCAATGCAATGACTGACAAACCCCCAGGACTCAGAGCGTAGCCTGCAAACCGGAGGACAAGTGTCATCAGTGAAAGGCACGGACCTGGGCCGGATCCCTCCAGGTCCAAAGGCCGGATCACCTGATACTTGTGTGCAGGCGCGATCACACCACGCCGAGTCTCAGCCGGGCACGTGTAAACCAGGCGCGAGGCCGCCTGCCCTCCAGGTGTCGGGGGTTAGGGGGATGGTGAACACGAAGCACCTGGCGCATCAGAGGGACGTGAGAATGTCCCTTGTTGACGATATTACTGCTGTTCTGACTTGGCCTCCATCAGGCACCTTCTCTGTTCCTGGCGCTGGGCTGGGCCCTGTCCGCAAAGACTGCTCCGGCCCCTGGGGCAACGGTGAGCACAACCCTCGCTCCCAGCAACACGTGCCAACAAGAACAGCGAGCCAGGGGCGCGGGCGCAGGAGGCAGGTCCTTGGAGTGCATCCCGACAGCCACCACCGCCACGCCGCTCCCTCCACCCACCAAACTCCTGATGACCTTTCAGGCTCAGCCCTGAGGCCCCACCCTCCTCTGGGCTCCACAGCCTCTGTGTGACCCCGAATCTCAAGGCACAGGCCTCCCCGTGCTGTAATTACCAGCTATACATCTGTCTCCCGCCCACCCCCAGAGGCTCTGAGCCCCCCGAGGGTGAGGGTCTGGGGCTCGCTCATCTTCACGTCCCTGGTGCCCGGGAGAGCCTGCCACACGGGAAGCCCTCCATAAATACTGGCTCCGCGGGAGTGACCCCCAATACCTGCTGAGAATTCATTCACTCAGCAAACGTGTAGCGGGCACCTCCCCTCGACCGGGTGCTGTCCTAGGTGCTGGAGACAGTGTGCAACAAGGACGGACAGGGTCCTGCTCCCAGACTAAAGGGCAGATGGACACAAGGTGAGTAACGGAGATGAAGAGGACAGGAACCTGAGACGCCAGCTCCAAGCCCGCCAGGTCCACCATGGAGAGCCTCCCAATGTGCACTTCCTCTGCCATGTCTGTGCCATGGCTGCGCCGGTGCACAGTGACCTGCAGCACGGCGTGGGAGCGGGACGACATCTTGCTGGTGGCGGTGGACTCCTGTGTGCGCTGCCAGTTGCCTTAGGTGAGGAGCTGCATGGTCTGAGGACAGAGGCAGAAGCGGGCAGACAGTCAAGGGCCCCTGAGTGGCCACACGCTCCCTGCAGAACAAGAGAAGGAGACGTGCCCTCCAGAGCTCCTTAGGGCAGCTCTTCCCCAGCTGGGATGCTGATGGCAGAACCGCATCCAGTGGAAGCAATTTCTGGTTTGTGGCATGAAGAGATTAATTAATCGAGTCAACTAATCCAGCAGGAATGGCAGATTGCTGACGCTTATAGCACCACTTCTGCCTCCTCTACCCATGGCAGACATCACCAATGGATTACCCATCTCTAACCCACCGAGCCCTTTTCCATATGGAACTCCAGGCAGTTGTACAGATTTGCTGGAGTTGGCGGGTGGCCTGAAATCCACTTGTGCACAAGCAGCTGTGGAAATCAAGCCAGTGTGCCTCTGCTGGGCACCTACTGTGTGCCAGGCATGCTAGGACCACAGAGCATTGTGGAGAGAGACTCATATGGTTGTTGTTATTAAAGAATAGGCAAGAAGTCTCCCCTCCTGCACCTGGAACCCATGAGGGACGGTGCTAAGGGCAGGTGGCCTCATGCCTACGCCAGCATGGCTAGAGCACACGGTTGTCCAGGGCCTGGGGGCCGAGGAGTCCATGCTGTTCAGAGGCAATTGGGAGCCTCTGAAATGTTCTGAGCAGACGGGAGGCCCACCCCAAGGGCTGCACACAGAGAGACTGGAGGGAGAGAGAAAGACAGAGGGCTGCAGAAATGTTTACAGCTCGCCCTCGTTATGGGAGCCAGACTTAGGATCAAGATGGCAAACAGATTTCAGACCTGAAGCCGACTCTGACCGCGACTGCCTGGAGTGCCGCCAAGCGTCTGGATGCAGAGGGAAGAGTGCGTGATCCATGGGTGATGTCTGCCCTGAGCACAGGTGAGGAGAGTGGGGACGTGCTGCGGAAGTCTGCTGTTCCTTTAGCTCGAAAGCAGCTTTGGAGCCGTGCGTCTGGCTCCGCTCTGTGAGCACTGGTGAGTGTGGCTGCCGTGGAGGAGCCACAGGTCCCTCCGTGGGCCCCCGTGACCCTCACCTCCTGGGTGTTTGAGGTGGAGACCTCCGTGATGCCTGCAGTCTGGATGCTGCCCCTAGAATCTTTCCGCAGGTCCAGAAGCCCTGAGGACGGGTTCAGGAGGTCCCAGATCACTTCGTTATAAATCTGGGATGAGACAGAAACGCTGGAAGCAGTAGGTCTGATGCAAAAGAAGCACAGGGGCTTACCTATCACTGGGGCTTTGCATCTCCAGAGAAGTCTGGGATGCCCTGAGGTTTCCCCCAGGCTGGGGGGCCCTTGGGGTAACAGGTGGGGTTTTGCACTCATGATCAGGCCCGTTTTGCAGGCAGGGCAGCCGAGGGGGTGGGCGGCTCACCTCAAGGTAAGACATGGGCGCGCTGCAGTCCGTGCTCTCATGGGTCTCCTCGATGGCCTGGAAGAGGTCAGTGAGCATCTGCAGGTAGCTGCCGGGCCCCGCATCCATGGCAGCATTGTGTGGGTCTTGCTAGCACCTGCGGGAGGCATGGGATGCCCACCAAAGCAGGGCTCCTGGTCTGGGCTTGCCCCCCCCCCCCCCCCCGGAGCCTGGTCACACCTGCCGCCCGTACTGTGCAAACCGCCCTGGCTGCTCTGACATGCTCAGTTTCCATTTTGGAAACAAGAACAAAAAAAATCCTGTCTGAACAGCCTGATGGCTACTCTGGGGAAGAAAACCTAGGCAGGGAAAGCGGGAGGATACAAAGCGAAGATGCCTCCCTCCCTCAGAGGAGGGAGGCCCAAGAGATGTCTGCACTTCTCTCCAAATGCGCTTTAAGGTGTTCGTGTTGTTCTCGTAATAGGAGAATTAACGTACGTGTTAAGCTTTCTAAGCAGTCCCGCTTCATGGGGTCCTCACCTCCTCCTTCCCGGTTCGCCCTGTAGGAGGGACCAGATGGCCCTCTTCCTTTGCTAGAGCATAGCACACAGCAGGTGCTCCCTGATGTTCGTTGAATGAAAGAAAGAATGAATGAATGCCATAAACAAGCTGTGACTTCGGACCAGGCTTCTCAGGGCCTCAGTTTCCCCACCTGTATAGGGAGGGGATTAAGGCCCGTCCAGCTCTGACCCTCTGTGATTCTAGTTTTCAGGCGGAGAGGTAGCTTAGCTTCGCGAGTGTTTGCCGACCCCAACTTGTAACTGCAGAGGAGAAATCTGTGGTTTTCATGGGCAGAAAAGTGTAGGCTTGGGTTGAGTTCCACACTCACTCCTACCAGCTGTGTAACCTTGGGGAAGTCCCTTTACCTCTCTGAGGCTCAGTTGTCCCATCTGTGACAGGGGGATCGTTCTACCTGCCTTTCAGGGCTGTTGAAAGAACCAAAGGAACCAACGGATGCAGAGGGACCAGTGCAAGGCCAGCACGTATGAGGTGCTTTGTGCTGTTAGGAAGAGCTCTGCTGCCACCAACCTCATTCCCTCCGGGGGACACCGGCCTTTGGCAGCACCTGAGGGGCCGTGGGCAAACACCGCCGCGTTGTATCCAGAAATGACGCCTTCCACTAGTGCTGGGGTGTGGCAAGGTACACGTCTTCCTGCGGACAGATGGAAGGAAGACAGGCAAATGCACACTCCGACCAGAGTCGGGCACCTGGCTGTCTGGAGAGGACAGGTGTATGGTGCCTGCAAACGCCCTGCTCCCCCTGGACATGGACAGGGACCTCCACGGTGGCAGCCAGCGCAGCCACGGCACGAGCCCCACCCCAGTCCTGCAGCCGCCTGGACCACGCCGAGCCCCACGGTGAGACCACGGTGAGCGAGGATCGCACGAGAATGTAAGTGATAACTCCCACCACGAGGCCTGCCAGGTTTGGTACCAAACGGGTATGAGTCCTTTCCAGGGCTTCTGCATGAATTGAGAGAAATCAAAAAGAATGCAAAGGACTGGAAAGTAGTGACGGGGTTGGGAAATCCGGGAAGGGCATAATGACTCCTCTTATGGGACAAAACTAGGACCAGCGAGTGAAAGTTTCAGGCTGGCGGAATTTCATTTAGGGCAGCAGTACGTAGCGGTAGGAGTGTGTGGGTAGTGAGCTCCCTGTCCACAGGGGTATTCAAGGAAGGACATCTCCAGGGCTGGTGTCTGAGGGCATGGGCATCTGGCTGGACTGGAGAGAAAGGACGGTCCCCCTTCCTCTGCCTTCCCTGAACCCCCTCTGGGCCTGCTCTTCATCTCACTTAACTGTCCCAGCAGCCCTGGCTGGTGACACGAGTCAGAAGCATCTGAGCCCTGGTTGGACAGACTCCAGAGCTGGTGCTCCTTTCGTCCAGCCTTGGACTGACACTGTCTGGGACCTTGTCCTGGTTCTGCAGCTCTCTAGCTGTGACCTCAGGTCAGTTGCTGACCTCCTTAAGCCAGCACCTCACCTGTAAAGTGGGGATATCACCGTGTATTTTACAGAGTTGCTGTGACGCTTGGAAGACAAGGCGTGACAAGCACTTAAGCACAGCACTTGGAATGCACTAGCTGCTCAATAATTGATGACCTGGTCCTTCTACTTCCGACACCATTAAGATCTCGGCAGCAGAAGACACCTGTCTGCTCGGAGAGCCGGGCCTGTTTCCCTGGCTGGGGTGTGAGCCCCTGTGGGCAGGGAGTGTGTTCTAGCCCCGTGGCGGACAGGACACGGCTTTGTTGGATGGATGGGTGGGTGGACAGACGGACACATGGACACACAGAGGAATAAATGAGGATGCGTGTAAAGCCCGGGCACCTGGCGGCCCCCGGCATCCATGGAAGGGGTCTGCTACCTGTCCCTGGAGTGACCCAGAGCACCAACTTCCTCGTTTATCAGGGAGACCCCATGAGACGTCACGGATGAGGTCACCTGGCTGCCAAGCCCTCCCACATGAGGACACCCTTGGCGGGCCTGGCCCAGCGGGGCCGTGGGCTGGTGGGTAGGGCCGGGCACCTGGGAGGTGTGCTGGTCGAACACGATGTCGAAGATGAAGGTCTTCTCCCGGGACCGGTGTGTGTGCAGTGTGTCCTCAGGGTCCTCGCCGGGGTCCATGAGCACCACCGTCTAGGAGCAGTGAGAGGCAGGGCTCGGAGGAGAGGCCGCTCACAGGATCAGGGCGGAGGGAGGACCCCAGGCCTGGCCTCTACCCTCAGAGGCATCCAGGGGCTCGGCCCGGACCTGGGAAGCGCTGCAGGCCTCTGCGCTCACCCCCAGGCAGCCTCTCCACTTCCATCTGAGGGTGCAGCATCTCCGGGCTGCTGCACCCCCAAAGCCTTGACTGTGAGCCCCCAGGCCGGCTGGGCTCTGCTTCCGGTCCTCACATACCGGCGCCCAACCAACGCCGAATCCCTCGGGCCCCGCCTGGACGGCAGCCCGGATGCCCCTGAACAGCCGGCCGGGGCGCTGAGGGCTGGGTGAAGAGCCCCGCCGGCCACAGCGCCCTGAGTAGCACCTGCAGGTGGGCAAGGGGCTCTGCGGAGGGCAAAACACCTAGCCAGAGGCCTGCTACCGCGATATCTGCACGTGGCCCTAGGGATATGCCTTTCCCACCCGACTACCTCTTGCTCATGGGGCCGCGCCACCCAAAGGAAAGGGGAGAACGGAGGGGGGGTGGCGCGCAGGTACCTGGAGGGGGCAGGACCCGTCCAGCTCTGCAGCTCCGCGCTGTCTCTCTGAGCGCCTTGGGTGCCCCCTCCCCAGGGCCTCTCCTTTCTCACATAAATATGTAATTATACAGTAAGGTGTACGAGCGCCTCTGGGGACCGGGAGGTTCAGAAGAGCCTTTCCCAGGGGGCAGGGGCAGGGCAGCTGGAGACTAGTGGAGCTGTTTACTCTGGTGCGGGGCCTGGGGTGCACCAGGGAGTCTTAGGGGCAGGACTGGGCCCAGCAAGAGCCCCATCACCTGGCCACCCGCCCATTCCACCCAGGGCTGCCAGAGCTCCCTGGGAGGAGGTCAGCGCCCCCCCCCCCACGATGGGCGACGTGCCAGGATTTGGGGACTGATGAGATGACTTTGAGAGCCGCTATGGATTCCAGAAATTATTTGCCTTAACAGTTATTCCAAGGGCACTGCCTGCTTCCTCTAACTTGTGTCGTTTTAATGAGTGAGGTGCACACAGTTTCAAGACTTGTCAGCCTGTGGGACAGCAGCCGCTGCCCCACCCCTGCTGCCCCGACTCCTGTGGCTGACATTCGGGCTGTGGCCGCCCTGTCTGTACGGAACACGGGCCCCTACGTCCCGCCTCCCAGTGCAGTCACGTCACAAATTTAGTTAGAGTCACGCCGTCTCCACGTTAAGACTATCTATGTAAACGCTCTCCAGAGCTCGGCCAAATCCCTTCCTGCAAAACCTTGTTCCCCTCAGTGTAACAAGCGTCCTAACAGGTTTTACTCGCTTAGGTCTCCATGAACTCAGCACTAATCCACACCAGCCTCTTTGCCCACGCCCCTCGGCACATTTACACACCCCAGACGTCCTGTCCACTCATCATCCTGCAGTGTCACCCCCGAGCTCCTCCCCTGGCACCCCCGTCCCCCGAGCCGGGGTCCTTTGCCCTGGAGTGCAAACGCACGTCCTGGGTAAAGCTGCCTCTCTAGTGACAAGTGGGGAAATGCAATTCAATTTTCTTTTACCCCAATTTGGCATTTACGCTGGCGAGTGACGACCACGAGCAACGACACTTCTGCGCTGAGAGCTCAGCTTCTGAGCCTGTTCCCAAGGAGCAGGAATCCTTGGCGACTTGACGGCGTGACGGCGTGCCGTCGGGGTCCTGCAGGGGCCCTCTCCCAACTGCACACCTAGCCCCCACCGCCGATCTCCCCCCACCCCGCGCCAGGCTGCTCAAACGTGTCGTCAGTGACCGCCTCTGTCCACTCCATTCTTCTCCGTGCTCTCAGCTCCCCGACATTATACTTTCTCTCTTGCTCGACGCCCACACTCCACCCCACCCCCACCAGGGAGGGAGCTGGGGCCGTGGGGGACAGGCCCTTGAGTCCCCCCTCCCCCCGGCTCCACCCCAGTGTCTGGAACGTGCCGGCCACTGTGAGCACTGATGTTTTCCGCAAGGGAGGGAGGGAGGGAGGGAGGCGATCGCACGCGGGCGAGCTCCGCGACCGGTGACACAGCCCCACCCGGTCCCCGCCTTGTGGGCGATGACGGAGGCCCCTTCCTCGCGGTCTGCGTCGCTGAGCGGGCGGGTCCGAAGCGCCACCTGCTGGCGGGACACCGCGGCAGCTGCCTCCTAGTCCTCACAGGGCACGGAGACCCCAGCCCAACCTCCCGCTCACCTCCCAAGAGCCTCCCACTCCTGGGGAAGCAGTTAAGGCCGCTGAACCCCCAGGCCCCACCGGGTGCTGACTTCCGGTTCACAGCTCACGATGGTGCTGAGAGGAGCACTGTGATCAGGCCACCCTCTTTAGTCTGAACTGGGGAGACTGAGGCACAGAGAGGTGAAGCAACTTGCCCAAGGTCACACAGCGGCTAAGGAGTCCTACCACCTCACCCCGGCTCCTTTACCCCACCACCCGAGGGACCCAAACCTTCACGCAGGTTGTGAGCACTTTCAGAGCAAAAGTTGGTTTTCTGAGTAGAAAATCCCGGGGCTCTGTTTCCCATCATTCTCTGCCCCACCTCCAGCCCAGTTCTAAGGGAGTCCCACAGGAGGCCCTCCGGGATGGCGCCGACCCAGGCCTCGAATCCTCCTTAGTCACTGAGCTGTGAGCCGCCTGCAAGCCAGCACAATGCTTCCGGGCCTCTGCTTTCTCGTCTGTACGATGGGAAAGTTCCTCCTGGTAGAAACGGTAGCTTACAGTTCTCCCTGAACGGGGCCGGGGTCACGACAGGGTCTCTCTGTAACCAGCCTACAGGTCAGGGGCAAGTGCCGAGCCTCTGCTCACCCGTCTAATGGGCTGAGCTTCCACGTCACCCAGGAGACAGGCCTCGGGGGACCTGATGGGGCCGGGGTAGGGGGCGTCTACACCACTGCATCTGAGGGTTGTGGCCTAGGCCCTGAGCTCCCTGGGGAGTGAGACTCAGGGCAAGGGTGAAGACACATCTGGAGGTGGGGAGCAGGGGGTCACCAGGTCCCCTGAGGGAAGGCTGAGCAGAGCAGGGGCAGAGCCCTGGACGGGGACCCGGGCTGACGACAGAGACCTGACCTGTGACAAGCAGGCACCTGAGGCAGCGGGTCAGGCAGCCACGCGCTGGCCAGGCACGCGGAGGAGAACATTCCCCGTGAGCAGCTGGTCCTTGGGCTCCACCTCCCTCCTGGCTGGGCTGCCCTGGGCCGGGGAGGGGCCGGCAGTGGGGTGGGAGGGCTGGCTGGCTGGAGACACGAGCTCCTTGCTCCCTGCTATGCTAGCAGGAGACCTGGCTGCCTGTCAGCCCCACCCTGCCCCGCTGACATCAGCGGGGCCCCAGGAGCCCAGCTGGTCCTTAAGTGTCTCAGGAACTGCCCACGTGGTTCGGGTGGGCCCCCTCGCCTAACGCCATGGCAACCCCAGGGTTCCTACATGCCTCACCTGGCCTGCAGGTACGCCTGCCTGAGATCTGCACCCACCAGACTTGGCCCTTGGCCCTGGAGGCTTGCCCCCACCAAAGGGGGACACATGCCACCAGCTAACATTTGATGAAATAATCCCCTCGGACTACTTCTCCCCAAAGACACATTTCTAAAGCAAACTTGAAATGACCTGCGGGTTTTCTTGATTTTTAGGACATGGCTTTTAAGCCCCTTTCCCACGCTGCCAGTCTGCACAAGCCAGGGCCGACTCCCATGAACCATCAGGCGTATTCACTGCTTGAATGCTGCGCTCAGCTTTTCCAACGCAGTCTCCAGGGAAGTCACTGCACGGTGAACCAAGGAGGCTGCACCTGCCATCACGCAGCTCACCAGCGCGCCAGGTGACAGCAGCACTCCTCCCGCCCACGAGAGCCAGGGTGGGTGTAGGTGCAGTAAATTGCTACTGCATTTTCATATAAATCACGGAGACACCAGATCCATGCAGTTCGGATCTGAGAAACCCAACTTAATGGTTCGAGCTACAGAGGCCCATCCACCCCAGCCACGGCTCTCAGTCCGGCCAGCCTGGCAGCAGGGAGCGGCCACACCCGGTCACTTGGTCGTCCATGGGCAGGAGTGTGCTGGTCACGTCCAGGTCAGCGCTGGGCTCCAGGACTTCTTGGCCACACGAACGAGGCCGGGGAAGGGGCGCCCCTTTAACATCCATGCTCCCCCACAAAGGCCAGGCCTCTGACCCACCAGGCACTTGCTGGAGAGCCGTCACCAGGTTCCTACACAAGGGCAGACCCCTCACATCCTGACTGCTCTGAACATGATGGAGAGCAGGCCCGCGTGGGTGGCCAGGAGCCCGGCACCCACCCCGATGCCCAAGCTGGGGACACTGCCTGCCCCTCCCCCGGGTGGGTGGGGAAATTCTTCTACAGAGGGCCGGCCGTGGGACACCCAGTTCACAGAAAAAGAGAGATAATGCCAGCACAATTGCTTAAGAAATTTTTATTCACAAACTATGTAAAAGTTACAACTAGCCCGTTTAAAACAGTGAAAAGTTAATCTTTCAAAAGCTCTGTTAAAAATCTGTTCACGTGATAGAGCCATGTGCCTTTTCCTCCTTACTGCCAAGAAATTAGAAAAACTAGGTCTCGACACAGTGAAGTTTAAAGAACGTGAAAGGAAACAGGAATTGCTGTGACTCTGAGAGGGCGCGAGGATGAGCTACACGGCAGGATGAGGGGCCGCAGAGGAAGCGCGGGCCCCGAGAGAGGAAGAGCGCGAAGCGCCGGCTCACACGGGCGAGGCCAGGTAGCGGGGCCGCTGCCGGTCGGGGCCGCTCTGCACCAGCCGGCCGAGCCGCGGGGGCAGACGTTTGCCTGTCCTGCCCCGCGAGGCCGTCTTAGGTCTGTCCACCGTACACAGAGGTCACGGCTGTGAGCTCCAAGC